GAGACTTCCCACTCCCACTCTGGGGACACTCTCTGAGTTTTGTGATTGTCATTCCCTGTCTCCTTTAAGGGCCCACCAACAACCTTGAGATTTGGAGTCCCGCAGCCTGTCTGCTTTCTCTCCATCCTGCTCAGAAGCTATGGTCCACTACCTCAGCCATTCTCTTGGTAAGATTCCTACTTACCCTAATGCCAATTCGTCCCATCAGTGTGAGGGAGCCTTAGCTGCAATCTGTCCACCCACACCAAGCACTAAAGATATCATGGCAAGTCACACAAATGGATGTCAGGGCACTTGTGTGGTCTCCCACGTCAGTCAGACTCTCAGCCCTCCCTGGCCAGCCTTCTGTTTGTTCTCCTCAGTTTTCTGCCCTCTCCAAATTGTGTCTTTTCTCACAAACCTCCTCCTTTCTTCCTTCCCTTCTCCCTTTGGAATGATGTTCTCCTGGTCTCTGCAGAGAAAAACAGAAATCACTGACCACTGTCAGACCTGCAAGCCCCCTGCCTCTGCACCCTTGCTTTCTTGCCTCTGGACTGTTGGGAAGGGGCTGACTTTTGACTCTGTCCCCTGTTAACTCCCTCTGTGGTGCTCCTCTGGCTCCTAGCCATAGCCACACATCCACACGCTTGCCCTAGACTCAACACACTTGCTTTTGTTGAACCCTTGGTTGAAGATTCTTCCCCAGCCTGTCCTGACCCCTCATTGGCCCAATTCCTCCGTGTTTTTGTTCCAATCAAATGAAGTATTCCTTCCAAGCTGGCATCGAGATGACTTTAAAGGGAGTCCCAAGCAAACTCTGCTTGAGGCCCTTAGGATAAGTTAGTGACTGAACTGGTAGAAGTTACTACTAGACAGTCAAGAACCACAGATCCATTACCTAACATTACGGCCACGTATTTGCTGCCTGCTTTGTCCTGCATGTGTGAGGTTGGGATTTTGATGATTTTGATGTGAGCACAACCCTATACCCTCGTCAGCATATTCAAGTTAGATCAGAAAGACACATTGTTCGCTGATAGTTATAAATAATACTTGCTAGTTATAAATAATACTTGTGCTTATAAATAATAACCAGTATAGTTTGAGCCAAGGGTAAGAGAGCAGACAGGGGCTGCATGGGATTACATGTGATGTGATTGGTGGGTACCAATGGTACACTTTTAGGTGCTGGCTTGGAGGGGCTCATTTCAGTGATGGGCTGTTTGCCCATCTCAGAGAGGAAGATGCTGACCTTGGTGGAGCACCTGGCCTTGGATGACGGCTTGGGCTAGGCTGGCCTCCTTTCTGAGCATTCTGTCTCTGGATACTCAGGAGGTATCTGTGGCCCCAGGGAGGTACCGCTGGTACTTTTAGCATCTGGTTGTTTTGCATGGTGGTGTCACTGGCTTAGATCTTGTTAATGATGCTGTCAGGCGTCTGGGTGATGCTCTTCAGCCCTTCGGCGCCCACTCAGAAGAGATTAAAGTAGATCCTTCAGCAGCTATTTTCACATCACCTACGAATCATGAAATCCTTTGAGATTTGTGTCGGTTTCAGTCCTCGCTCTCCCACTGTGTGCGAGAGTGGTTTGCGTGTGCCCTTGCCGGAGCACGGTGAAATGCTCATTATGCCTGTGGTCCATTTCATGTTCAGCAACACGAGTCTTTGTTCTCTGGCAGGATGTGGTGCAGCCCTGTGGGGAGGAGGCGGCCAGTAGTGCCTCTCTTTATCTCCTGACCCTCACCAGAGGGTATCTTCAAAGAACGCTCCCTCTGATGCCTGGTGAACATGCACACACACCCACTAGATTCTCAGCAAACGGCTGGAGGCCACTCCCCAGCTCCCTCCTGGGCTCTAGCCAGCTTGTCCCCAAATGGGCTCTTAGTGTTTTCATCTCCAGTGTCCTGGTTCATATCTGTCCCACCTTCCCCTCTTCAAAGTGAATCCAAACTGCTTGATTCTTAAAAGTCTATGAAGTCCTTTCCAGACTTTGTCTCCCAATCTCCCAATGCAGTATTTCAGTTCCTTCTGGCCTGTGATCACATACCCAAGATGGTGCTGTGCACCATTCCCTGGTCAGTTCCTTTGATGTCTGTGACTCTCCTTCACCAAGGCACCATCCATTGGGCTTCTTTGACTTTACAAAAAACCGATTGAGTTCAGAGCCTTACTGCTAATGAGTAGTAGAGCAGTTTAGCCCACTGTGTACCAACCCCACTCTTATATTCCCAAGCACATCATCTGGACCTGTCTGCTACGATGGCCACAGGACTTGTAGGCATGAGCTGTGGAGCCTAAGCCTCAGTTTCAATCCTTGCACCACCACTTTGCTACGAGACACCTTGGGCATGTATATAACTTCTTCTCTAGACTTAGTTTGCACATCTGTAGAATGGACATTTTAAGACTCTAATTGCAATGAGAGTGAATGAGATAATCCATTAAAGGTCTTGGCATGGTGCCTGGCATGTGGAAGTATTTTGTTTCTATCTTACCCAGACACTCTCTTTTAGTAAGTGGTAAGTTGCCTAAGGGCAGGACCTTGTTTGTCCCTTGATTCCACACTTAGCCCACACAAAGCCTGCTTGTCATGGATGCCCAGTGAAAGAGAAATTGGCGATGACCATGGGAACATTGATTCTACAGCTGGATCTTCTAATGAAAGACTCACAAGCCACCAGTTGTCACTCCAAGGCTAACTAGCTTGGCATGTAACTGGCCTTCCTTGGAGCTGGCTGAAGGTGGGTGGTCCAGATTTTTTTTTTTTCTTCAGCTTGTTCCCAGAGAGTCTGTAGGCCCATTTTGAACTAGAGTCTTTCAGTATTTTTCTCTGTTGACTTTCATCTTGTTAGGCCCATAGATTGCGAGCACAGGTAGCATTTAAGATGAAAGTACATAATCTGGTAACAAGGCCAAAGCTCCTTAGAGATGAGCTTCCTGAGAGACTGTCAACAGAGACGTTTCTGGAAAATAAAATGGAGGACTGCAGTGTTCCATTGCTTCCTGAATCCTGTTGGAACATTTCCGAGCGTGCATTGACGCTTCCTGTCTTGTTAAGCAGAATATATCCAACTGTCACTCACCTTGGCCCCAGGGTGACCAAGTGCTTTCACACCAGGAGCATCTAGAATCTGGCTGGCCCCACAGAAGACAAAGGTCATTGACCCCACTTCACAGACAGGAAGCTCGGGGTCCTGGAACTTAGATCCACTGACAGGAAATACTGGGACAGCTCCAGCTCTCTTTGGCATAGACTCAGAGATCATTGCTCTCCACCATTGCATTCTGGAGCAATGCCAAAGTCAGCAGCTGTGCTTGGGTGTAATACTGTTATGGAAGTCAAGGCCCATATGGGGCTTTTGGTCTATGCCTGGTCTCTGTTTACCCATCGTCGTTCGACAGCCTCCTTTGGACCCTCCTTGGCTCCTCTCATTAACCGAGTACACAGTTGGTACTTCGGGTAGATTTCATTACCAGGCCCTCACCCCAGGCCCCTTTGTATCTGAAGTCTCATCACCCGCTGCTTCAAAAGATGTGAGCCCTTTCTTTGTAGCTCCAACCTGGGCATGGTTTTGTCAGGTTCCCATGGAGACAGAATCTAATTAGAAAAACTTGTACAGTTGTTGAAAGGATGATTGGCCAGGTCCAGCCTGGTCAGAGCCCAGCCTCTCAGCATCCACCAGAGTTGTACCGAAGAAGGCCACACTGGCTGGCTGACTAGACAGAGGCTCTTGCAGTGCTCTTGCGGTAGGGCTGACATTTTGTAGCCTTCCTGGGAAAGTTCACCACTGAGTGAAAACCTGTCTGAGGCTTTGAACCCACCAAATTCTCAAAGCTCTGCTGAGCTATTGTTCCCTCTCCAAGACATGCCACTGTCAGATATAACCTGATGTCTCATGGGGCTAGTGGAGAACAGTTGGACTGTGAGGAAGCTGATCGTAGAGCCACTCCGCGGAGGGACAGGTACCCACGCACATTCTCGTCCACTGGCCTATGGTTAAGTGTCCTTTATAGGCTTCCCTTCGCTTTACAGTTCTAATGTGAATGCTACATCTATGTGTAATTTTGGATTTAGTCCCAAACATCTTTGTCATTTTCTTTATTCCAGCTAATCCCCATCACAAGTCCTTTCCAGTAGACATCTATAGGACTGTAAGGAATTTATTCATTCTCTTTGTGCTTCTGTTAACCCTCTGTGTAGCCAACCAGCCAGCAAGTTATTCATCTATCTATCTTTTTCTTGAGACAGGTTCACATGGATCCCAGGCTGACTTCAAACTTACCATGTAGCCTGGAATGGCTTTGAACTTCTGATCCCCCTGTATCTACCTCCTGGGTGCTGGGATTATAGGCATATGTCACCATGACTGGATTGAACTGAGGGCTTTGTGGTGCTGGGCAAGCATCCCAGCAGCTGAGCTGCATCCCCAGCCCTATCCCATGTCGTTAAGTGGAGGTAGAAACTCTGAAGTTGGCATGAGGGCTCATGACATAATAACTGTGTCACTGTCAAGGTTTGACATTATTCACAGAAGTTTGGGTCTCATGTGCCAGCAGGAGAAACAAAGCTCTAGAGGAGGTGATTTTGCAACTGTGGTACCAAGGATCAAAAGAGAAACACTGCAGATGGCAGGGATGCTGATAAATTCAGCTTTCCAAACCACACTCCCATGATGGACACCATATATGCCATTTAAACCTGGGAACACAAGCTGCTGCCTCCTACAAAGATAAAAACCAGCCAGAGTGATAGTGTTGCCAGAGAAAGAAAGACACCATTAGTGTTCACCATTTTCAAACAATGGAGCCATTCTTATGTTTTACATCTGGGTCAAAGTACCAGGATGGGTGTCATATTCAAACATACTTAGTTCTGGCAAAGATCTCCCAGAGCCCTGTGCTGAGGGCATCCAAAGGCCTGGGTCGTATTGGTGGTTTGTTCCAAAATGGCCTCTTCTTTTACTTCCTCCCTCAAAAGGAGCTAAACTGGCAAATGAAGGTGGAACCCTGGCACCCTGGACTTCCTGGTCTCTTCAGGAATGAAAGTCACTGCTGTATTCATTGTTTTCATCTTCTGCTGTAAGTATAAGCCATCTGAAAGGGTGCTGGGAGGCCATTTTTCTGACTGTTACAGTGGTGGCCCCTTCTGGGTAGCATTGAGTGAAGGAAGGGTAGAAGGCACTCGGGAGAATACCAGGCTCCCTCCAAAGTTCTCCTACCTCTGGTTCTGCTGTTTGCTGGGCTGGTCACAGTGTTGGGCCCTCACAGAGCATCTCAGAATACAGGGACGTTGACTACATACTGGAAAAATGATGTTTGGTTGTGATGTCAGCACGTGTGGTCTGGAAGATTTTCTTCCTTCCCATTCTGGTTGCCTCTGTTTAAAGCTATGTGTACTGTGTACAAAATGGTAGGCATGTCCAGCCAGCTGGAGTAATTCTACAGGGGAAGGCATCTCGATAATGTCTAGTGGAACACTTGGTCAAACTGAGTCACAGCTACCAGAGCTTCAGATTGCTTACCTAAGTGAGGTGTGCAGTCTGAAGGGCTTCCTGGAAACTGTCTGGGGTCTTTGAAACAAAACAAAACAAAAAACTCAGTCTTTTGCTGAGTGTCTGGCATAGCTGTTTTTCCAACATCAGTTTCTTGCTGCTTTCAGCCATGTTGCAGTAACTCTGGGGTTCTGTAAGTGAGGCATATCAAAATTAGGCCTACTCCTTCCCCCAAGTTGCTAGTGAGCTTTGCAGTTTTCAAAACCATGCCAAATGTGTAATCTCCACACTTGGGAAGTGGAGGCAGGAGGATTGAGAAATCAGGTCAAGGCATCTAACTCGGCACCGAGGCGGGAGGGAGCTTGGAAAGCCTCCCCATTACTCTCACTGTTTTCCTCCGTTGAGTTCATGATTTTGCTGTGTTTACATCATAAACCAAATATATGCTTATAATTTAAAAAATCAAATGCAGGGCTGGGGAATAGCTCAGCTGGTAGAGTACTTGCCAGCCATACACAAAAACCTGGGTAGAATCCCCAACACTGAATAAAGCCAGGCAGGAAGTGAAGGCAGGAGAGGTGGAGGTTCAAGGCCATCCCTGACTGCCTATGAGCTTGAGGCCAGCTTGGGCCGCTTAAGCTTTTGTTCTGTCACAAAACGACACTATAAAATATATAGTAACAAAGGTTCAGCCTTCTCAGGCACTAGTACTTTTCTATACCTAGATACAACTCCTCTGGAGACTGTGGAGGACATTCCTCTAAGCGCCCCCCCCACACACACACACTCAAAATACTATAAAAATATACTGTTGTATTGCTGTAAAGAGACCCCATACCAAGGCAACTCTTAAAAAGGGAAGCATTTAACTGGGAGCTTGTTAACAGTCTCAGAGGCTTACTTAGTTCATTATTGTCATGGCAAGGAACATTGCAGCAGACAGGCAAGCATGGTGCTGGAGAAATAGCTGAGAGCTAATCCAGATCTGGAGAGAGGAGAGAGGGGTGGGGGAGGGAGGGAGAGACAAGGGGAGGGGGGGGGTGGGTGGGTGGGGGGGGGGGGGGTGGGAGGAAGAGAGAGAGAGGGAGAGAGAGAGAGAGAGAGAGAGAGAGAGAGAGAGAGAGAGCCTGGTGTGGTCTTTTGAAACCTCAACGCTCACCCCAGTGGCACAGTCCCTCCAACAAGGCCACACCTCCTAATCCTTCCCTAACAGTTCCACTCCCTGGTGGCCATGCATTCAAATATATGAGCCTATGGTGCCATTCTTACTCAAACAACCACAGTGTGTTTGTAAAAAAAAAAAAAAAAGGTACATGGAAGTATGCTAAATGAATGTGGCCAGTTCTTTCTCCCTCTGCCTCAGAGTACACTGCCACCAAGCACCCTTGTATATGCATCGCTCTGTGTGTCTGCAAGCATTTTGTACAGTACAAAAGCCTACTGATCTACACCTGTAATTCCAGCACCTCAGAAGCAGAGAGGGGAGGATTTCCCCAGGTTCAAGGCCAGCCTGGTCTCTATAGGACCTTCTAAGCCAGCTAGGGTTATGTAGTAAGAAAAGACCCTGTCTATTAAAAATAATAAGAATTGATGGGTCTGTGTATTTGTGCCATTTTACAGGCTGTGTCAGGGGTGTTTTTCTGATTTCTTACACCTGGATTTTGCTTCTTCTGGGAGACTACAAATGCCTGATACTGCCTGGAGGAGAGGCTGGCTGGAACCTCTGGCCTTGACCTTTCCCAGTTAATGTTGATCAAATCTGAATGGTGGTGGAGCAACCCTGACAGTTGGGGAGCCTGGGCCTCATCCTGGTTAACAGAAAACTTTCTGGGTGATAGAGTAACATTGATCCTATTTCTTTCCTGCGAAGATGACTGACAACTTGTGCAAAGGCTCAGGACTGCCCACCTCACTGCAAGCACTCTAGGGAGGAGACCTGTGGGCCTTCAGACTCCTCTCCTTTGTTGTTTTCTCCTTGGCAGGGACAACCTCCACCCTCAGCAGCTTCTGGCAGTTCCAGAGGATGGTCAAACACGTCACAGGGCGCAGCGCCTTCTTCTCCTATTACGGATACGGCTGCTATTGTGGGCTTGGGGGCAGAGGGATCCCTGTGGACGCCACAGACAGGTGATGCACAAGTTCTGGGCTAGCCCCTTATTGCAGGCTTACAGCCAGGAGAGAGGGGCTTAGGAATCCTGAAGAAACAATCCCAAGGCAGCATGAGACTGAAAGGGGGTTGTAGAGTGAGTCTTGAGGAAGCCAGAACTGAGCCACCTATCCCTGTGCGACCTGCGAAGCTGCCCAGGGTCCTCTATGCCTAAGGTCCTGGGTATGGCTTGTGTGATGACCGTCTTGAGATGGGGTCTTAGTTCCTAACTCACGTTAGCCCCTAACTTACTAAATAGTCCAGGTTGGACTTGAATTCAGAGCCTCCTGCCTCAGCCTCCCAAGTGTTCAGATTCTAGGCATGCACCATTATGTACCACTCAAACCCAGAACCCCATCCCTGCTGGATCATTATACCACTGAGATACACCCCAGGCCCATCCTGACATTCTCAATCAAGGGCCCTAACGTTACACAGTTGGTCCAACCCGAGATCTGGAAGCCTCAGCAAGGGTGTTCTTCACTCCCATGCTCTGTTTTTAGGCTTATGGCCCAGCAAGACTGTCCTGCCAGCTCCCAGACCTAATTCCATATTTTAGGAGAGAAGCCAAGTGGCCCAGTTCAGAAAAGTTGTCCATCTGGAAGCAGTCACATGGTACCAAGTTGGTTTCCAGGACAGCTCTAGGGATTTGGGGGTGGGTGGTGTGGGCTTCTATAAAAAAAAAAAATGGACGCTACTATAATCTGGAGAGGGCACAGTGGGGAGACTGGATAGTGTGTGTCTTTTCCCATTTGAAGAAATAGGAAGGAAATGTCCCTTGGCATGTCCTTACAGCAGGGTCTGATATATGGAGCGTGAGCCCCAGGCTTGGCTGTGGAGTCATGGAGGGCCACTTGCACTTGTAAGATGTCCATTATGTACCCAACACTGAACAGGTGATGAACATGTGGTCCTCAGCCCTCACACAGGTGACCTGCACATGGCTTCAGCCCTCACAGTGCATAAAGGAGGAGCATCCCCACTATAACCCACCTTTACAGTAAATACAGGAAGAGCATCCCTGCTGTAACCCACCTTACAGCTGAGGACAGAGAGGATCCCAGACTAAGAGTTGCTCAACCACCGCCCCCAGGCGAAGCAGCAGAGACTGGCCTGAAAACACAGATCAACCATTTCTAAGTCTACCTCCTGTCATTGCCCACCTGTGTCTTGCCTGCTGGAGTCCTAAGGTAGATTCAAAACCGCACACCATTAGCCCAGGGCTACAAAGGGCCAAGAGCCCATTTACACATGGGAACATTCAGAAAAGGACAGATGTATCGGTGTCTCACCTCCCCAGCTCCAGGGCCTGCAGGCCCAGGGAAGGCCAGGGAAGCTGGAAGTCCCTTCCAGATCTCAGCCAGGGTCCTCTCGATGATTCCCCAGGGACACCCCCACATAGGCACAGTCCCTCACCTTCCTCTCCCCACCACCAGGTGTTGCTGGGCTCACGACTGCTGCTACCACAAGCTGAAGGAGCATGGCTGCCAGCCCATCTTGAATGGCTACCAGTTCAATATTGTCAACGGGAGTGTGGCCTGTGAGTAGCCTTCCCCTATAGGGAGACTATGTGACCTGGGCTGGTCCTTAACAGTCACCTCCTCACCAGCTCACTGACCGTTTTAGGCAATGAGATTTTCCCAAGTGCTTTGAGACCAAGAAAGGCGGGTGAGTCTGAGAGTGAGAGCTTCTTGGAGAAAGTCCTTGCCTGGTTTTGCCTGGTCCTTTCTGCCTGCCACTGAATCTCAGCTCCCACCAGGAAGCCAGACCAGAGCCCACCCTACATTATGGGCCAGTAAAGAGTTGTTGACTGAGGAGTCCATTGGCTTCGCAGTTTCCCTAGCTGCGAGAACATTCCTTGCCCCCTCCATCCCCCCTTTTCAGCCGTGTGTGGTATGGGTGTGCGCATGTTTTTGTATGTGTGTAGGTACGCTTGTAGGTGGGCATATGCGGTGGAGACTTAAGGTTAATGTTAGGGGTTGTCCTCCATCACTGTTCTGTCTCATTCATTGAGGCAGAGTGTCTCGGTCACCCCCTCAGCTGTGTGATGTGGCTAGCTTACTGCAGGGATCCTGTCTCTGCCCCAGGGGCTGGGATTGTAGGCAGGCCACCAGACCCACCCGGAATTTGGTTTCTGGGTGTCTGAACTCTGATCCTCCCAAGTGCTTTAACTACTGAATTATCACTCCAGCCCTGACAACCTTTTTTGTTTGTTTGTTTTTGTCGTCTCCTGTTGACAAGGCATTTGGCTCTCTTTCAGTTGAACAGATATTTGATAAGGGCAACTGCATGCTGTGTACTGTGACCAGTGTGGGTAGGGACAGAAAAGTAACCAGGAGTGGGGCCCTGCACAGGAGGGAAGAGGGAGTCACGAGTGTCCACTCAAAAGGAGGATGTCCTGGAGCTGAGGTTTCGGGCGTGTGGAGGCAAGCCTTGTCCTGGAGCTGAGGGTGTGGAGGCAAGTCTTGTCCTGGAGCTGAGGGTGTGGGTGTGTGGAGGCAAGTCTTGCCTGAAGAGCTTTTGTCCAGCCCAGTCGGTAGTTTCTTGCTGCTCACATGCCATAGGTCAGCTCCTGCCAGGCCTTAGGGCATAGTGAGCCACTTCCTCCCACATATATGCACAGCTGTGTTTCTGGGCATCCATCTGCCTCCTCCAAGGTCAGAGAACTACCAGTTGCCCCCGACTCATCATTTCCCAGGACAGAGGACTTAACGACTCCACACTGAGGGTCAGAGTACTACAGCACCCCATCCGGAGCTGTGGCACAGCACACAGGGAACCCTGTCCCGCGCGCGCGCTGTATTTTCTCGCCAGCAAGAAATACACGCAGGACACTCGGATCCTTCTGCAGACAAGCTTTAATGCATCTTGAGAGTTGGGAGAGAGCATAAGCTTACCAGAGCGGAGACTCTGAACCAAGAAAACCCATCCCTAATAAAGGCTGGCCAGCCGCCTGGGACGTGTTACCCTATGAATGGCTTCAGCTCCTCAGGCCAAATGAGCCACGGGATAGGCAGAGATCAAAGGAATGGAGATTACCCAGCGCCTGTGAAGTAATTTACATCTTGGTGTCTTTAG